TATACAAAAATTATGTATGTGATTCATACAGTCAGTAAAATGGATATTACAGTGAAGCAAATTAACATATCTATCATCTCACATAGTTGGCCATTTTTTTTTGGTCTGTTTTTGTGGTAAGAGCAACAAAAGTCTACTCATTCAGCAGTAATCTCAAATACAATTTGATTAGCTGAGTCCTCTTTTATGCATCAGATTTCTAGACTTTGTTCATAGTACACATCTGCTACTTTGTAACTTCTGACCTGTATCTCCCCATTTTCCCCCTCTACCCTCTTGGTAATTGCTGTTTTATTCACTCTGGGAAATCATGCAATATTTTTCTTTATGCACATGGTTTATTTCACTTAGCATGTCCTCCAAGTGGCATATGCCCATATCACCTTCTTGCAAAGAAGGCTGAATATTCCATTGTATACATATATACAATTTCTTTATCTGTTACAGCATAGTTTGTTTCCATGTCTTAGCTATCATGCATAATGCTTTAACAAATGTGGGAGTGCAGATATCTTTACAAGGTGATGATTTCATTCTCTTTGGATATATGTCCAGAAGAATGATTGCTGAGCTAACTGGTAGTAATATTTTTAATTTCTTTAGCAATTCCCAAACTGTTTTCCATAAAAATTGTACCCATCTATATTCCTAACAATAATGTAAATTAATTCCCTTTTCTACACACTCCTGACATTTTTTATTTCTTAACTTTTAGATAATAGCTACGTTAACAGGTAGGAAATGATATCTCACAGTGGTTTTGCATTTCCTTAATGATTAATGTTGTTGAGTACCTTCATAATCAGTTGACCATTCTTAGTATTCTTTGGAAAAATGGCTAGTGAGGTCCTTTGCTCATTTTTTTAATTGGGTTATTTGCTGTTCTACTACTGAGATGTATGAGTTCTTTATAAATTTTAGATATTTAACACTTATTTAGATATGTAGCTTGCAAACATTTTTTCCAATCAGTTAAGCTGGCTTTTCATTTTGCTGATTATTTCCTTTGCTGTGCGACATCTGTATTTTACTCTCACAACACACACAATTGAGGCTAATCACATTTCAAGTGATCAAGAGTCACATTTAACTAGTAGGTGCCATAATGAACAGTGCACATCTACAACAAAAGTGAGTCAAAGACCGTTTCCAAAGTTCTAAAACATAATCAACAGAAAGCACTAAGTACCTAAACAAAAGTAGAATCTGCCTTTAAAGGTAGACATAGGTTTATGAATAGAGTCAAAACATATTCAGAATTTATTATGTGTCAGTCCCTATTTTTAAGTACTTGTCAGGTATTAATCAATTGATATAAGGCCACTCACTGATGTAGGTACTAATAACATCCCCCTTTTACATATCTAGAAACAAAGACAAGATAAAATAGGTAAAGATTTAAGCAAGATAGCCCAACACTGTGATGCACTCTGGAATACCAGCAGCTTGGGAGGCTGAGACAGGAGGATCACAAATTCAAGGTCTGTCTCAGCAATTTAGTGATACCCTAAGCAACTTAGTGAGACTCTATCTCAAAATAAAAAATAAAAAGGGCCAGAAATGTGGCTCAGTGGTATATAGCCCCTGGGTTAAATCCTCAGTACCAAAAAAGAAAAAAGAAAAAAAAATATTTAACCAAGGCTATGCTATACTACAAGAAAAACATCAAAGGTTGAGTTTTTTAAATGAGAATTTAAAAAGATGAGCATAAAATAAAAGATACAGTATGGAACAGTAAACAAAAACTATATTTTGGAAATAACAGATTTTTATAACCAAATTATGTTATATAATACTTTTTATAAGATGCTTCAAACTCTAAATAAATCATGTTATTTTAGATTAGAATTTGTATTTTTTTTAAATAGGGTCTAACTGAGTTGGTTAGGCCTCGCTTTTTTTTTTAATATTTTATTTTTAGGCGGACACAACATCTTTGTATGTGGTGCTGAGGATCAAACCCAGGCCTCATGCATACCAGGCAAGCGTGCTACCGCTTGAGCCACATCCCCAGCCCCTAGAATTTGTATTTTTAAGCTCTTATTACCACAAACATTTCATTTAACTTTAACTAGTAATGTAAAATGAATATGTTTAACATCTAGTATTGAAAATCAGTTCTAGCTTAAAGAAAAAAATAAAGAACTGTTTTAAGATCATGGATTTTCAGGTAATTTGTTAGGCTCAAGAACTGTACTTTTCTTTTTTGAAACTCTTATTGTATGTCTGATGGTATTATGCTAATTTACTATGGACTTTTTAATAGTCTCAATCTCATTCACTTATCATTTCAAAGAACAAAAAGTACAAGCCAGGCAAGGTGGCAATGGCGCAGGCCTATAATCCCAGCAGCTCAAGAGGCTGACACTGGAAGATCAAAAGTTCAAAGCCAACCTCAGCAACAGCAGCCAGCGAAGGCAGAGACATGTTAAGCAACTCAGTGAGACTCGACTCTAAAAAAAAAATACAAAGAAGTAGGGCTGGGGATGTAGCTCAATGGGTGAGTGCCCCTGAGTTCAATCCCCAGTAACTCCCACCTCGTCCCCCCCAAAAAAGTACAAGAAGATAAAGGCAGGCAAGAATAGAGCTAGTTTCTTTCCTATATTTCAGTTCTAAGGAAAAAATAGAAAGCTATATAATAATAAACATCACATTAGATGGGTACAATGTACCCCAAAACTTTGCCCTACAACAAGCAGATAATGCTTACTTACAAAATGATACAAACATTACCTAATGGTCACAAAAAGTTCAGATAAAATGCTAGACATCTCTTCAGAATACACATTCAAAAATTCCTCTACTAAAAAACAGTCCTGTGTTAAAGAAAATCTCTGATCAACCCTTAAACTGTCTGACCCCTTTTGTGTACTTAAAATCACAAGATAACACTAGTCTGATCCACAGTTGAAGGCCATGGCAGTTTACACACTGCTGTTTCAGAGTGCTACTGCAAAGCCTGATCACACCACCTTCAGTTTCATAACAAACCTACTGCCATTTGTTTTCATTATCCCACCCACACACTCAAAACTTCACAGAGGTGGCCAGATCAGAAGGGGAGGGGGGCCTTAAAAAAATAGACCTCATTTATACAATGTGTCTGAGCGAATTTAGCAACAGAAAAAGGTTAGAAGTTCCAATCTACCTCTGTCATAACAAAGAAATACATCAGTTTGCTAAAAATGTTTCAAAAATATGTTCACATCATTTACATTCTGCCTTTGATCAATTTGAACAATTTCATCAATAAATGCCTCATATAATGTTCACGTTATGCTTTTTTTTACGTTTGTTTTGTTTTGTTTTGTTTTGCTTCCTTTTGACTGCCTAGCAGTAAATATGTCAGGCACTGGTCTTGGCTCTTACATATAGATCATCCCATGTTATTCTGGTTAGGGTCTCCTCTAGGAGTTAAAAATACTAGAATCAAAATGACTTTACCACTAACTTATCTGAAGCCTCCCCCCACCATGAAAATATAATTCAAAGATCCTCATACAAATAAACAACTATACTATGAAACTTTAAAAGATTAGTACACAATTATTTATAAATGTCTTTTGTTCTTTGATCACTCTTACAACTGATCAAATAAATTTAAGTACAAAAACCATCCTTTATACATATATATATGGTTGTAGTTGGACACAATACCTTTGTTTTATTAGTTATTTATTTTTATGTGGTGCTAAGGATGGAACACAGGGCCTTGCACACACTAGGCAAGCACTCTACCAATGAGCCACAACCCCAGCCCCCATTGTTTTTTTAATAATGATAAGATCTTTAGTGTCACCAGAGAAAGAGAATTCAAATCACATCTGTGCTAAATTATAAATAAGGCTAGACACAGTGGTACATTTCTGAAACCTCAGCTACTCAGTAGGCTGAAGCAAGAGGATTTTAAGTTCAAAATCAGCCTTGGAAACAGTGAGACCTAGTCTCATATTAAAAAATAAAAAACGGGGCTGGGGATGTGGCTCAAGCGGTAGCGCGCTCGCC